TTTTTTTTTGGGTAAATGGACTTTTAGCTTTAAAAATTTTCATTTTTGTTACATGTCCAAGTTTTCCTAATGGGATTTTCCTAAATTTTATAAGATATTCAGTTAAAATCAGATTTGAGAGATTTTGCAAATCAAGAAAGAGATGACAATAAGAAATTTAACGTAAATAAATTAAAATTTGAAATTTTATATCATTAAGTTAATTTTATTTGTATTAAAATTTTATTTTATAATGTTAAATATTTTTATATTTATTAGAAAATATTTAATTTTCTCGTTTTATTATAAATTAATTTAGTTATTTAAGGTTATGATGTGGTATAATCAATTTAATATAAAATTTTATGATTTTTATATTTATTGTTTTATATAGAATATATATTATTATCTTCAATTTTTTTAATAATTAATGATTATTAAAATTGATTTGAAAAATATAATTGAGATCGAAAGGATGTTTATTTATTTAAATTCCTATGCGGGTATAATAAGTTAATAGATAATAATATATTTGATATAATTTGAGAAAATATATTAAGTTAAAAAATTCAACTACTACATCTATAGTAAAGACCCTATAAGTATATTACTTTAAATTTTATATTGATTAATTATAATAAAATTAAATGTCTTCAAATTTTAATTTTTAATGTCACTTAAAATTAATTGTATTTTTTTATTAATTTAATGAATTAATTCACTAGTATTATTTAATTTTAATTGTTTAAATAAAATAAAAAATTTTAATACTTAATTAATTATAATTTTAATAAAATAATATTTAATTATTATTATATTATTTAAAATTACTATTATTCTTATTAAAATGAAATTAATTCATCAATGCAGATATATCATTGTATTGATAATGATCTTTGTACGTCACGATGATACAAATTGTCAAAAAAAGATGAAATTCGCAATATAATAATTTTAAAGTATCTGCTTGAAAAAGTATTTTTTAACTTTTATAATCCATTTTTAATAAAATTAAAGATTCAAAATTTGAGTTAAATTCACTTTTAAACTCATTAAATGTAAGGAGAAACCTTAAGTAAGATAAATAGTTGCTTCTCACATGAGATTTTTTATTGGATTTGAGTTTAAATCCTTTCCTTCTCTAAAACTCTCCACATGTAATCTTGTTAAAAAAACAAAAAAAAAAACCTCATCAGATGTAAGAATAAGAAAAACAAAGATTTACTGTTTATTTGTGGCACATGACCGATGTCATTTAAGGCCTACGTTGTGTTGATAGCTCGAGAAATTGAGGAGCTTCCTTACCGCTCCATTTGAAAAATAATAATTTATTAAGATTTAATTGTTGATATTTAAGGAAAAGTAGGTGAATGTAAACTTCATTTTTGGAAGATGATTTTTCTATCAACTAAATTATTACTATTGCTTAGTTGTTATAGGAATTTAAATTCTTATTATCAATCTTAATAGTAAGATTTTTAATATTATAGAATCATAAATTTTTTAAAATAATTGAAGTTTGGACCGAATTATCATTTACATTAAAATTAAAGAAGATTAATGCTTTAAATAAACACTATGTTCTAATTAGTTGAAACCAGGATAATGTACAACATGCATGTTAATTAGGAAAAATTACATCTTCTTCAATTTTGGTAAAGATGACAATTTGTTCTAAACATTTTAGAGAATTTATGATTTTATAATATTAAAAATCTTGTTATTAAAATTGATGATAAGTGTTCAAATCTCTATACAACCAAATATTAGAATTGGTATTTTTATTTTTTCCCTCGTTTTAGATTAAAAACTTTCTTATTCCATTATATATAAACTTGATTTTCCCACAAATGTTCATGGTTCATTAATGGGTGAATCTCATTAGGTAGTCATCCAACTTTATCAAAATCAACGTTTTGGTTATTCAACTCATAACTCTAACAAAATAGTCACGTAAGATATGACGTGGCATTAACTGATGATGTGGCGCTCGAGAAGAGCAACACTAAGGACAGTCGCCCTTCACCACTCGCTCCGTCACTCTCCACACCGTGTTGCCACGTAGCACCGGTATCAGATCCCTACACCAGAAACTGGTTTTCACCGGTGGCTTACGAACTTTTTCCCTTTCTAATTTTAAAGTGGATTTAAAGGTTTTTTTTTTTTTTTTTTTAAAAAGAACATTCTAAAATCGAATCTGGTCCCCTCCTCCAGTCCCCATCTCTTCCTTTGAGACCAAGAACGGATTCCCAA